TCTTCTTGTCATGGGATTTATTTTTTTAAATATACTTTATTGAGTTTTTACAGAGAGGAAGGAAGAGGGATACAGAGTTAGAAACATCGATGAGAGAGAAACATCGATTCAGCTGCCTCTTGCACGCCCCCTATTGAGGATGTGCCTGCAACCCAGGTACATGCCCTTGACCGGAATCGAACCTGGGACCTTTCAGTCCGCAGGCCGTCGCTCTATCCACTGAGCCAAACCGGTTTCGGCGTATCTCTATATCTTTATTAAGGTACCTAGAAGTTTGTTTAGGCCATCTGGCAAAAGGGCCACATAAGGACTTTCATGGAACTTAGGCACTTTTGCTTTCCTGGGCCCCTTCCTCTATTAAAAAAAAATTTGTAAACTATGTTTTAAGATTCTGTTGAACTAAAGATTAATGCAGTCAAGGCTGGATTCATTATTACATGTTCACTATTATTGCATTGATTATTTTTCTTCTGATTGTATGAAAACTTCACATGAAAACAGTTTGTGGGATGCTAAAAGCAGCTTGGGCCCCAGGCTCTATGGACTCTGCATCTCACCTGTCCGTGGCCTTCCTGGTGATTGTAAGGTGGTGGTGCCTTGAAAATTTGTAGGCTGGCTGAGGTTTATAAACATGAGTTTGTCCTGAGATCAGGACCTCACATGATTTTGAAAAGTAAACAGAATTTACTCTACTCTCAGGGAAAAGTGAAGTAGGAAGAGAATGATCTGAATTGTAGGTAAAGGGGCTGTGCATAAAGAAGGTCCTCGGGGAAAGTAAAATGAAATTAAAATGACTCTACATTTTAATATCAGGCAGTGTACGCCCACATTGTTCCAGGGAAAACTGAGTCACTTTAAACTTGAGTCCTGATAAATTCTCTTGTACTGCTGGGTGAACTCCCAAATGCTTTATACTGAAATCAAAGTTGTTTAAGACAATGCAAGTTATTCACATGTACTGTCAATAGTGCATGTATTTAGGCACGGTGAGCATTCAAATATACAGTTCACAACTGCTTTCCTCTCTTTCTCGCAGGAGAAGGTGCTGAGAGGATAGCATGCTTTCTTGGCATTTCAGGTGGAATAGCAGAGAGAAAAGAAGAAGAATAAAAGATTAAAAGATTTTCACTGGGGATGAAAATAGGAAGATTTGAGAGGATGGGATAAGAAGGCCAATAAAAAGAAAACTGGAAGGGATAAAAGCTGGAATGAGGATAAGAATAAGAAGCTCTATGAAAAAAAGAGAAAACTATTCATCCAATTATATTGTGGGAGAAATGTGTGAAGAGGATATGTGACAATACTGAATTTTGTTAATTGCATGAAATGCATATGTATCTTAATTTAAAACTACTCTGAGACTGAAGCATATGTTCTTGGTTATTATTCCTTATATGGGGAAAGTAGATGCACTAAAAAAATTGATGGCTATCCTTTTGAAAGAATTGTCAGTGGAGACAAACTATTACCACATACACAATCTTTGCAAAGCTATTAAGGACAATGACTCACTGATGATGGGAGAAATATTAGGAATGGTTAAATCAATAAAACCATACAATCTCTGTCATCCTCAGAAACAATGTCAGCACCAAGATCACCAGAGACCACTGTGGGAACAACGAAGGACACCGCAGCCTCTGTAACTGCAACTTCTACTGAAGTCACCTCAGAATCCCCACACACAACTCAAGCAGGTGGGCCAACAACAGCGCCCCTTCTGAGCACCTCAACTCAGGTAACATCAGCATCTTCACAAAGCGACCACACTGAGAGCACCGGCACCACCAAACCTCCACCCACCAGCACCATCACAGAAATGAGCACATCAACCTCTTCATATTCTTCAAGTGGCACTGTTTTGACGTCAGGAGCTCCTCAGTCAACATCCCATTCAGGTGAGACAACAACTTCATCCCATTCTAGTGTCAGCAGCCCACCTCTGACAACCTCAGGAATCGTGTCAGCACCAAGCTCACCAGAGACCACTGTGGGAACAACGAAGGACACCGCAGCCTCTGTAACTGCAACTTCTACTGAAGTCACCTCAGAATCCCCACACACAACTCAAGCAGGTGGGCCAACAACAGCGCCCCTTCTGAGCACCTCAACTCAGGTAACATCAGCATCTTCACAGAGCGACCACACTGAGAGCACTGGCACCCCCAAACCACCACCCACCAGCACCATGACAGATATGAGCACATCAATCCCGTCTTCTTCTCCAAGTGGCAGTATTTTGACTTCAGGTGCTCCTCAGACAACATCCCATTCAGCTGAGGCAACAAGTTCATCCCCGTCTAATGCCAGTAGCACACTTCTGACAACCTCAAGAACCATGCCTGCACTAACTATGGCAGGCACTACCCTGGGAACTACAATTGGCATGGCATTCTCTGTAACTACAACTTATTCCTCAGGCACCTCTGATACCTTACGTACAACTGAAGTAGGTGGACATACGTCAGCACCCTCTTTGGGCACCTCTACCAAGGAAACATCAGCATTTTCACAGAGCTACCCCTCTGCGATCACTGAGATCACCAATCATCCACAAACCAGCCCCATCACAGAAATGAGCACATCAACCTTTTCACCTTCACCAAGTAGAAATGTCCCCACATCAGTTTTTCCTCAGAAGACATCCCATTCAGGTGAGACAACCGGTTCCTCTCATTCTATTATCATGCCCAATTTCTCACCAAGAAAAAAATGATGCCAGCACCAACCTCAACAGACTCCACTATATGAAAAAGAAGGACATTTCTCTCTATTACTACAGCTTCTGTGTCACTCACCTCATTTGTGTTTGTTACAACTTAGACAACTAACAGCACTGTATTCCAACACCTCTACTAAGGAAACGTCAACCTTCTTTAAGAACCACGGGGCAGAGAGCACTGAGTTCGCCAGACTCTCACCAACCTGCATCATTATAGCAATTAACTCATCATCTTTCTTATTCTTACCAATTGGGCACAATCCTGCAGCATTTGTTTTTGAGGAGACATCCTTTGGTGAAACACCACTTCAGTTTCTTCCTGTGTCAGCCACACTCTTCTGACATCAGAAATTATGACAATACCTTTCTTAAAAGAAACCACTGTAGGAAAATCAGAGCCGATGTCACTGTCTGTAACTGCAACTTCTACTCCTGTCACCTCTCTTTCTGCTTTTACTACCTTGTCCACAAGTGGAGAAGTCCTGGCAACACCCTCAAGCTCAGTCATTCATGAAATCATGACTGCATAGGTCATTCCCACTGTAGTTTCTGTCAGTAACTCTCTGAGAAATATCATGCAAGTCCCAACAGCCTCGGTAAGTCAAGCACACCCACCCCTGAGCATCCTTTAATGTTTAAAGGGTAGCCTCTACTACCAACCCTACTACAAGGCCAACATATATGAGTTCTACAGATAGTTGTAACAGTGTATCTGGATCCACATTGACATTTCTTTTCTTTTTTTCCACACTGATTTTTTCATTTCCACCTATAACCTACCCTTCGATCAAGACCACTCCTCATACTTCTTTAGCACCTAAGTATTCTATGAGTACATTGCTTATACCACAGCCATTGATAGGCTCTGCTTTCTCTGATTCTATTTCTTCTGGTAATATGTGCAAAGTTCAGACCATATTGAGTTTCTGTACTTCAACCAGTAATTTTTTATTCTCTCAATCAGCCCCTGACCCTGCAGTCACCTGGAGCTCCACCACCATATTCACAGGTCATCACACACCTTTGTCTGGTACCAGTACTTTCCCACCATCCACAGCATTCTCACGCTCCACTGTGAAGACTGATACATCAGGTAGGTGGAGACTAAAGTGTCTCGGTCTCTTACAGTGGCTACATTGGCTCAATTTGGCCTAGAGGAGCACTTGAGAGAGAATGGTGAGTTAACATTACCAGTTTAGGATTGAGGTCAGGTCCACAAGAGGGTAAAGTGAATGGGGGTGTAGTGGGTGACAATCCCCTCTGCCTTAGCAGACAACTGCTTATCTGCAGAGAGTCATTTGGGTATGACCAGAAGAGAGACAAGATGATTTCTAGTTGTCTCTTCCAGCTCCTAAAGTCTGTGACTTCTTTTTGACTCTGCTTTGTCTGACTGTAAGACCCACTCCAGTCTTCTCTTCCTGCATGCCAGGAACAATCACAGCTTCACTGACGACAGACAGTCTGAGAAGCACAGCAGCATCACTACTCTCAACAACTATCCAGAGCCTTACAACCTCAACTCCCAGCACACGCTCAACAACTACCCCAGTCCCTATGACGCCTGAGAAAGGTAAGTTATGCCAGAGATCTGGGACCTTTCCACCCTGGGATGGAGAGGGTTGAGCTAGATGTAGAGCTTGTAGTTGTGGCAGATGGACTGGATCTACCAATAAGGCCCCTTGTGATTATTTCTGTGGACATCTCCACTGCCCCTTCTGGGCCATGGGAAGTTGAGCTACTCCCCATATCTCCTTTAAATGGTGATGTGACTGAATGCTTAGTCTCAGCCTGCTTGCTCACAGACTACTCTTTCACGTCAGAGGGCCTCATGAGGGAAAATGAGACAGCATCAGAGTTGGGTGCTGAGGGTTGGCTTTGTACATGGCACTGTGGTAGGAAGTGAAGACAAAAATGATCAAGGTGCTGTACAGCAAGAGACAGATATGCTGCCTCAGTAGGTGCAATTAGAGGAATAAACCCAGGGTATTAGGCACACGCAATGAAAGGCCCCTAAAGAATGTGTATGTGTGTAAGGGAGTGGGGGGGGGGGGACGGGGGTGGGTTTCAAGGTGAAGAGGAGGTTTCTAGAAAGAATTAATAGGAACTGGGGAAAAAGTCAGCAGGAAGGTATTGGAATAAAGATGTAGACATGGGAAGTAGTCTCAGTATAGCAAGGGGAGGAGATCCCCAAAACATTTGGGATTGCTGGAAGGTGAAGAGTGTTGAGAAGTGAGGCTGTGATGTAAGGGAAGCTTGTATATAACAGGAACCAGGGAGGAGGTGGCTATATTTGCATTTATGGGTGGTGGCTGGGGTGAAGGCTGAATTTGCAGGAGGCCAGGAGAGCAGTGTAGAGATTGCTGTGTATTCCAAGCAAGACAGAGTAAGTATGGAAAGAAGGAGACCCATTTGAGAAATGTTTAGGACAAAGTTTCTCAAACTACCCAAGGACCTCTAAGGAATCCTAGGACAAATTCTAGGGGGTCTTCAAGTTTATCTAGAGAAATACCATCTTAGGAAACAAGTCTCATTCTATGAAATGGTCTTTCAATTACTCATCTTCACTGCCTTGGAGGAGTTTTTGTCTTTTCACCCTTAAAAGAATTATGAGTGCCATAACAAATGCAGAATAATGTGTTGGTCTGCTGACAGCAGGACCTGATTTTCTCCAAACTGGGGAAGGATGACCGTACCAGTTTAAGTGGTAAAATGAGGAGATGGGTTAAACACAAGTGGAAAGGGGGAGAGGGGAGGATTTGATGACTCCCAGTTAGGGGAACAAAGGACAGGGTAGAGGATCAGCTGGGGAAATTCTCTGGGGATCCCTGTCAGTCCATGAGAACTTCCTGCTCTTCTTTGTTCTGGCCCAGGTGTTTCCCTCTTCCCCTATGGGCCACGTGTTCAAGACCAGGAGTTTGTCAGGAGGAGGGTGGACTTCACCTCGCCGCTCTTCAAGCCCCAGATTGGCTTCCCTTTTGGCTCCTATCTCCGAGATTTCCTCTACGTGAGTCCCAGGCTGCAGCCCAAATGACCTGTGTTCCCAAGGCCCTGCTTCCCCTTCCAGGGCTCCGAGATGGCCCAGTGACTGTGACTGTGATCCTGATGGAAAATAAGGGAAAATGAAAGCAACACTGTTAGGCTCCTACTGAATTCCTGCCTCTGGCTTAGTTTGCATTCAGTCTTTACTGTCAGAGTGTTAGCCAAGGTAGACATGAATCTAGGCAAGGCTCGCCCACCCACACGAACAAAAGTGTTCATCTCAGTAAAGAGATCCCGGGGCCCAGTAAGCTTTCTCCTGTTTTTACAGGGCCCTTTATATGAGCAGGAAGCTCTACTTGGGAAACAACGGATGCAATTTACATTTTCTGTAATTATTTCCTGGTTCCCTGGTCCAGGTACCCGTGAGTCCTGGAAGAGAGTTGGAACGACAGTCATGGCCCCTGTGGCTTTCAGTGAGAGGGACTGAGTCAGGACACAGTGTGTGATGCAGTGATGGGGTGAGGGTTTCGGTCCTTTTAGCCCCATCTGATGTGGCACCAGCTTCAGGATGGAACCTCAGGGATTTACCCAGAGGGGTCTCCTCTGTGACAGGCTGGCCCATAGACGGGGCCTGATGCTAAGCAGGACAAAACTTACCACCTTAGGAAGGACTTAGGACTAGAAAAATGTCCTGCGGGTAGACTATTTATGTGAGAATTAAGTAAAGGGGCTCTCCCGGCAGGCAGGGAGATGGACGACATGACCTTCCAGAGGTTGTTGACCCTCTAAAGTTCTACCCAGAGAGGCCTTTGGGGGTCACACTTTTGAGAAGCTGTCCCAAGGCTGCTCTGAATGTTAACCGAAAGAACTTTTATGCTCAGTTCACAGATAATGGTCAGATCATTTTCCCGGAGTCAGAGTATCAGATTTTCTCCTACCCGTACCCTCCTCTTGGTGGCTTCACAGGCAGGGACAGTCTGGCTGTGGTGGCTCCATTCTGGGATGATGCTGATTTCTCCAGCCGCAAGGGAACCATATTTTACCAGGTGGGTCTTTCAAAGTCTGGCATTCAGGATCCTCCAGAAACCAACAAGGAGAGACAAAGAGCCGGGCAGGGAGGTGCACGTGTTACTGCTGTCAGAGCCAGGCTCCGTGTGGACAGGCATTGGTGCTTAAATATGAGGGTGGGAGGAAGCAGATGAGGGCTATTACATAAACTCAGGAATACTCTGACACAACCATGAGAAGACTTGCAGGTGACAGGGATGGGGGTTGGCAATCCAGAGTTTTAATTTAGAATAAGGTTGTAGGGGGTCTTTCCTAATAAGCCCGAGTCAAGCCAGACCGCTGTGTGTGCTCCTGGATTGGGTTAATGATTCCAGTCAGTGGGAGCACATAATGAAAGCTCCCGCAGGCGAATGTGGACTGTGCCCCTGCCATGGACAAGGTACTATGGAAGGTCGAAAGATGGAAAAACACATGCTTGTCCTCAAGGAGTTTTGATGGGACATGGGGAAGTTCAAGTGGGCAGAGGTGGCTATGCTATCCAAGTCATTTTGTGCTAAGAGATGCATGAGTTCAAGTCCAGAAGACTTGGGTCTCTGGGCCTTGACTCTCCGCTCCACACACCCTAGGCCTCCCTGCTGCTGAATTTGAATTAATCTTGAGATCCAAGGAACAGACTGAAAATGTAGGTCTGGGAGAGGGAAGGATGTCAGACGTGGGTAGACTAAAAATGATTAGGATTACCATGCAGAAAGTGGGGTCTCTCAAGGGTGTTGAGCCAAAACCCTCATTTCCTTGTCCTTAACTGTCTTCCTTTCCTAGGAATATGAGACGCTCTACGATGACAACAAACCACTTGTAGTCCAGCAGGTGGAGTCTTGGATTGAAAACTTTACAAACACCTGGAACTACAAAGCCAGGTGGACCCTAAAGGTCACATGGACCAATGCCTCTGCCTATCCCGCCCAGCGGACCTCCGGGGTGAGTGACCCATGGACAGCTCCCTGCGAACCATCTGGAAGTCAGACTTCCTAGAATCCTAGGCAGGGGCCAATCTTCTAAAATCTTCTCTGACTCCAGGCCAGATTGCTGATTATAGCACTCGTGCCCCCGCCCCAATGCTGAGCACTCACCGTGCACCAGGATGCCCCAACCCCGTATGTTCACAACCTCAGCAGCCCAGAGCACTGGGTATTAGGAGGTTGAAATTTAGGAAACAGAATTTTTGTAAGTCAAATGGCTGGCTATTGGCAATTTTATATGGTTCAACCTGATAATATTATCCACATTTTAGAGATGAGAAAGAGGATGGTTAGAGAGGTTAAGCAACTTGCTCAAGGTCACCCTGCTAGCAAATGACAATTCCAGGCCTGGAACTGAGGTTTTTCTAACTTCAAATGCCGGCTCTCAACTGTAATGCCTTCCAGTGGAAATGGGCACACCACACAGTCTCCCTGGTCTTCTCTCTGGGGACTCACAGCTCCTACAGTCAGAAGTCCTCCCTTGTGGCTGTTCTAAAGTCATTGTCTCTTCGTTGGTTCAACAAGTTCATTGATTACCTACTTTGTACAAGCATAGTTCTTGCCATTCTCCTTTAGAGAACCTCCAGTCTCGCCTGCTATGGTCCTCCCCACTGTTCAGGTTGAGGAGACATTTGGACAATGTCCTTAAATATCCCTGAGGATCCTACATAGGCCCCCTCCCAGCTCTCTGGTGTCTTGGCTAATCTCTCAGGTTTCTGATTCTTTCTTATACAAACTGTCTTCTAACTGGTTCCTAACCCAGAGCCTTTTATCGCCCTCCCTGGAAAGAAGTTAGAAAGAAGGCAAATCTACCATGCTAGGTGCTTGACACCACAGGTGAAATGTGCCCTACACACTCCCAAATTGTCAGCATGTTAAGCCCATGCCTTTTCTCCAAGGAGGCCAGGAAAAGATGATGTGTGCATCGAGGCAGGGGTGTGGGGTGAATGATGGGACATCAGGGAGGACACTCCAGATTTCTCATAGGCATCTCCATGTTTGTCTCCATCCAACCCCCAGACCAACACCTACCAGGCCATCCTCTCCACAAATGGGAGCAGATCCTTCGCCCTGTTTCTCTACCAAAGTGGTGGGATGCAGTGGGATGTGACCCAGCACCTAGACAACTGGGCCCTCATGGGCTTCTCCAGGTAGGATGGGGAGGGGCTGTCAGCTCTGAGCAGGTGGTAGGAAGTGGTGCAGAGCAGTGTTTTCGCTGCACACACACTCCCCCACCCCAGGACCAGGCTGAGTCCCACTTGCCGATGTTTCTAACTCACACTGGTGCCAGTTCCCATTAAAAGATGCTATTTCTTGCTGATTCACATTAAAAGATCACTACTCATTGCCGTTCTCTTTTTCTCCCCCCAGAACCTGTGCAATGTAATCATTCCCAGAACTTTGACTTCTCTGATTTCCACTCACATTAGCTGACCTTTCTTGAATTCTCAAATAGCATCATCATAATGGCCAATATTTACTATACTAACTACTTAATATGCATTATTTCATTTCATTTCATTTCATTACAACAAACTCATGAAGGAGATACTATTTATTTCCCATTTACAGATAAGGAAATTGAGGTACAAATAGATAAGTAACTGCCCAAAGTCACAGAGCTGGGAAGTGGCAAAGCAGGAATTTGAACTCAGACATCTGAGGCTGAAATCTGCCTTCCCGACTTCTGGTGCCCCTGGGCTGGGACCTCACCCCTCACCCAGGGCCACCAGCAGCTTGTGGGGGGTCACTGGGAAATACGGAGAGCAGAGGGATGGGGCTGTAGAGGGTGACACTGGTTCCTATTTGTGAAGGTGGCTCGGTCTCTGAGCAACAGTTCTTGACCCTGGTATTTCCTGGTTCTGGTATGTGTCATCACCGTGAAAGTCACTTGTCATTTGTTACTGGAAATTGCTGCAAATGATGTTCTCTTATAGGGTGCCTCTATAATTACACTGCTTTCACTTGCTTTTTAATGTGCAGAGAAAGAGAAAGGATTGAAATGATCTCACTACCTAGGAATTTCACACCATCCAGGGTTTGCCTGCCCACCTCCACCCCAGGTGTCACACCTGTGTGTGTCACCCATCCTGTGTCAGAGGAGGAACCATCAGGAGTCACTGCTCTGAGGCATGCACCCAGAGAGGCTGCAGGCACCAGTCCAGGATTTTCTCCTTCCTGGAGCAGGGCTTTGAACCCCAACACATCAGGTCCTCACTCAGTTCTGAGAGCTTTACAAATGTTTACTACATTTCATCCTCACAATGCTATGAGATAGATGCTATGTAATCTCTTTTACATGGCTGTGAAAGCAGAATCAAAAAGGTTAAGCAGCTTGCCCATGGTTACCAAGCTGCTAAGTGCTAGAATCAGGAGCTGAATTCCTGTCTGCCTAACTTCAGAGACTGACTCTTAACCATCCCGACATACTGTCCCCACCAATCCCTAGCTGCAGGGAAACATACCAGAAGGAGGCCTGGACTCTGTTGTCTTCACACCAGCCTCGTGATCAGTGTCTGGCCCTTATCGGTCAGATGTGGAATAGATTAGTCTCCCCACCCAACTCTCCCCCTTTCCTGCTTAGTGGTGGGAGTCAGTGATTCTGGCTGGCTGGCTGACCAACTGATAAGTAAAGACTAACTGAGCTGAGTGAGTGACTGACTGGCTGGATGAATAACTTGCCGGCTGAGAGGAAAGACCCTGAGTGTGACAGAAGCCTTCCATTCCTTCCTTTGCCCACAGTGGAGATGGGTATTATGAAAACAGCCCGCTGACATCCCAGCCAGTGTGGCAGAAGTATCGTCCGGACCAATTCCTGAATTCCAACTCAGGTAAAAGTGTCGCCTAATCACACTTGGGCTGGACTTAAGTCCTCTTTTGTCCTCCACTTTGTGGGCCATGACAGTACCAGAGGGGCAGTTCTCGAGCATCTATCTCCATCATCCTGAAGGAAGTCCCAGCACAAACTGACCTCCCACAGATGCAATAGGGACTAGACACTGCCTAGGGAGCAGTTGGTACCTTCTGTGCTCTCGCGCAGTGCAGTCTTCCTTGGGGCTCGGTCTCCTCCCTGGAATGAGCCAAACCAAAGAGCTCTCTCAGTGGGGGCCCAGATCCTGGAAGTGAGAACAGGGGTGTGGCTGGGTATAGGACTATGAATGGGTAGTTAGGGCAATACTTCAAGTGTCCTGTCCCAGAAATGGAATGTGAATCCAGATGAGATCCCTTAAAGGAACCTACCAAGAGAAGTTCCAGAGGTCTGACATTCATTTGGTCATTATTTATTGAGCACCTGCTACATGCTGGACACTGTGCTAAGAACCAAGAATGTGAAATAAAAGGCAAAAGCCTGACTAAGTTTGCTCTCAAAGAGCTGTCACTCTGGCAAGAAGGAGGGTACTTTAGTGTTAGGAAGAAGTCTCTGGGGCCTTCTCCATGACTCAGTGTACTGTTGAGGAGCCCCAAAGGGAAAGAAATGATCTTTTCCAAAATGTGATAGAACAAAGAACAGTTTAGCATTTGAAATCAGTCATGTAAATTGTGAAGCATGAATCCAGTTCTATTTGTTCTGTGGCAGGAACTTTCGGTAAACAGAAGCTAAGTCAAATCATGGGTGCCATCTTGTGGAGAATGCTGCCCAGTCATTAGGATCCTCTGTCAAAATGCTTCGACTTGGACCTAGGGGGTGCAATACAATAGATAGAAAGAGATAGATAGATAGATAGATAGATAGATAGATAGATAGATAGATAGATAGCATTTGGAGGGAGAGTATTTGATATGTTTCCCTTGATACCAGGTTGTTGTGGAGAAGATACACAAACAGATAATCATAAATAATAATTATCCTTCTCAAAACCTTAACAAATTGTAGTTTTCTTGACAATTACTTATTTTTTGGGGGAACAGGGTCAAATCGAATGTCCTATTATATCTTACTAGAGGCCCAGTACATGAAATTCATGCACTGGGCGGGGGTGGGGGGTCCCCTCAGCCCGGCCTGTACCCTCTCACAGTCCAGGAGAGCTCGGGGGATGTCTGACTGCCGGCCTTAGGCCCAACTCTCCCCCAGGGAGTGGGCCTAAGCCGGCAGTCAGACATCTTTAGCACTGCCACAGAGGCAGGAGAGGCTCCTGCCACCACAATTGCACTCGCCAGCCATGAGCCCGGGCTCTGGCTGAGTGGCACTCCCCCTATGGGAGTGCACTGACCACCAGGGATCAGCTCTGTGTGAGCATCTGCCCCTGTGTCAGTGCACGTCATAGCAACTGGTCATTCCACCGTTTGGTTGATTTGCATATTAGCCTTTTATTATATAGGATTGGACTCTGGAGCCCCCTTCTCACTCATGGGCAGTATGTACTTACAATTAATTGAAGGTTTATTTAAAGTTCAAACCCCCCATCAGGGTCTCTACTCCCACTTACTTCAACCTTCCTAGGATGGTGTCTGGGCACAGAGGATGCTTCCTCAGCCTTGTGGTAATGGAGCAAGTCCCAGCTTCACATGCCAACTTCTCTGTGGCTTCCCAGCTGGCCTCTGAGCATCGGCCTCTGCCCTGGCTGCTTTGGCCACTGACATGTCTGGTGGGAGAGCCAGGGTCAAGGATGAAAGCAAGTGTCTGAGTAGGTGGCTAGTGTGTGGTGGCATCATTCACTTAGATATAGGGTGCATGTGGAGGAACTGATTTGGGGTTTGGGGAGATTGGAAGGTGCTGGAGCTTAGAGTGACAGACAAAAGGGGTGAGTGAACTGAAGCTAGGGGCCAGGGTTTGGCTCTGAGTTGGGTGTAGGTCCTAGCCCTGTCCCAAGGTTTCACACTAAGATCCACGCTTTGAGGGCTTTTGGATGTCACATCAAAGGGGTTTTTGGGGGAGGAATTGCTGACAATCTGAGTTGGGTCTCATTTATGGAAGAGCTGTCCAGAGGGGGAAAGAGGCATACAGAGGTTACATTTCTGAGTCTTGATGTTCCCTAAAGCTACTAGTTAAGCAGAACCCGTGGCCCCAGGCCCTCAGATAACCCCTTCTTCCTTTGCTCATCCAGGCCTCAGGGGGCTGCAGGTCTATCAGCTGCACAGTACAGAAAGACCCAACTACCGTCTCAGGTGCCTGCAGTGGTTGAGACAACCTCAGTGGCCCAGCTGGGACTGGAACCACATCTCCTGCCCTTGCTCCTGGCAGCAGGGACTATGGGACTTACGATTCCAGCCCATCCACATAGGTGACTCCTCCTTCCTGTCTCTTGGAGCATCTCCATTGTCCCACAAGCCCACCCACCATCTCTCCAGTCCCCCCCTAACCTGTCCCTTTCAAGGCATCCTCAGCCCCTCCCCAGAAACACCACACCCTAATCCTGCCCCCCACCACAGGCATGGGGCCTGAGTGTGCATGGACTTGTTGCAGGCTGGTGGGGCCTCGGCAGCAGGCAGCTGTGCAGCTTCACTTCCTGGCGTGGAGGCGTGTGTTGCAGCTACGGGCCATGGGGAGAGCTTCTGCAAGGCTGGAGAGCGCAGAGCCCTTGGCAGCTTGGTATGTGTGTCCACAGAGACCTCAACCCCCCCTTCCTCTGGAGCTCTCTGCTCTTCCCCATCAGAGACCAGCCTTGGGTTCCACGCCAAGCAGTGGGATCGAAGCCTTTTGTCCCCACTCCCTTCCAGTTCCTTCCCCTCTCCGGCCCTCAATTTCCTGATTTTGTAACCTTAGGCAGCTCCCAACACCCCTTCCAGCTGACATCTTAGGGGTTTATGAGTGCCTCTTGACCATTTCCACTTGGCTCCATAGCCCCAGCCCAGAGTGGAGGCATCTTTCTAGGGAAGGGGAGAGGTCCTAGTCTAACCCCGGTCCTCTGGACCCACAGTACCAGGCTGTCTTGGGGAAAACATGGTGTCATCTCCATCACTCTTCAAAGGAACTAGAGAGCTCAGGTGTGGGGGGGAGGAGACAGGTAACGTGTGTCCTCCCCTTCTTCCCTGTAATCCAAGCAGCCTCCATAGTCCCAGACCATCAGCCATGCCCACCCCCACACAGCATTTTAAGAATAGTGGGACTCAGCACCCCACCTTTCAAGAAAGGAGGTTCTTGCCCTAGCCAGTTTGGCTCAATGGATAGAGCGTCGGCCTGCAAACTGAAAGGTCCCAGGTTCGATTCTGGTCAAGGGCACATGCCCGGGTTGTGGACTTGATCCCCACTGGGATACGTGCAGGAGGCAGCCGATCCATGATTCTCTCTCTTCATGGATGTTTCTATCTCTCTCTCCCTCTTCCTTCCTCTCTGAAATCAATAAAAATATATTTTTAAGAAAAAGGAAAAGAAAAAAAAAGAAAGGAGGTTCTTTATATTTGACCTTGTACTGGCCCACCTGGGAGCCCAGCTGCAATAAACTTGCAAGGGAGACAACAACGAGTCCCTGGCTTAAGGTCATTGGGCAGGGTGGGATCTGAACTGAGGTATGCCTGATTCCCAAACCATGGCCTTGGCACACATATCATCCTGCCCCACGAACCTTCCAGCTGGGTTCTGCAGGTTTTCCATGTCCCACTCCCCACACACACCCCTCAAAGCACTGCTCTTCTCCACAGAGCAAGAACTGGAGCCACAGGACTGGTGCTGCCGCTGGAACGACCAGCCCTCCTTCTGTGCCCTGTACCAACAAAGGCGGCCCCGCATCAGCTGTGCTGGGTACCGGCCCCCAAGGCCTGGTGAGGCTGCTGGGGCCTGCCCTGGAGCAGACCCAAAGCAAAGGATCTGGGGGTGGGGCAGCCTCTTGGGGCCTGGACAAGGGCAGCACTAGATTCCTGGGCGGGACGGTGGCCATAAGGGAAGGTGGAGATGGTTCTGGCATTCGGTGCATGGCAAACAGAGGAGCTTTGTAGATGGTATTGGGGAAGGGGTAGGACTGGGGGATGGGAGATAATGAGACATGGGGTGGTGGGGGCACAAAATGCAAGAGGATTTCCAGGGAAGATTCTACAAGCCATGAACAACTCCCAGGCTTGTGTCTACCTGGGCAAATGCCCACCTGTGGGCGGTGGGGAATCTCAGACCTTTCCCTCCTCTGCCATGCCAATGTGGTATCTCCCTTTTCCAGCCTGGATGTTCGGGGACCCCCACATCACCACCTTAGATGATGCCACTTACACCTTCAATGGGCTAGGGGACTTCCTGCTGGTCAGGGCCAGAGACGGAAACTCATCCTTCCTGCTGCAGGGCCGCACTGCCCAGACCGGCTCTGCCCAGGCCACCAACTTCATTGCGTTTGCCGCTCAGTACAACTCCAGCAGCCTGGACCCCATCACAGTGAGTGAGGCAGGGCCTCTAGACATCCTTGCTCCCCTCACAGAGAGCCCTCAGGGACCTTCAGCTGGAAATTGAGGTCCAGGAGGAGAATGAGAAGAAGGGAAGGGAGCAGGAAGGAGGGAAGAACCCTCCTGCTGGTGTCGTTTGGGAGTCAAACCTGGAGACACAAGATTAGGATCCAGGCTCCAGAAGTTAGGTGGAAGAGATGACTAAACTTCCAGTGCCTTCGTTTTCTTACAGGAAAATGGCGATAACAGTATTACCTACCCCACAGGGCTAATGTGAGATTGTAATGCGGTCACCTAAGAAATGTGCCTAGCTCTGAGCCTGGCCCATGCTAAGCACTCCCTAGGTGTTAGGTAGAAAAACCTCACTGTCACACTCTCCATCAACTTCATCTTTGCCCAGGGCTCAGGTTCTAAGCTCTTTGCAGCCTCCTTTCTTGGCCTCCGGGCCCACCTGCAGGTCAGCCTTAGTCCTCCTCCAATTTCCTTCCAGGTTCAGTGGCTCCTTGAGCCCAATGACACAATCCACGTGCGGCTCAATAACCAGACTGTGACATTTGAAGGTAGGCTGGGGAAGCCGTGAGGGTTCAGAGGGTGCCCTGCGATTGGGAGCAGGGTGGTGGGGTATGGAGGCGGCAGCGCTGGGGCAGGGGAGAGTGGTGGCCACTCCTGCTGTCCCTTCAGCAGCTGTGCTGAGCAGCTCCTTCACCCAGGAGCCGGGCATTAAACATTCCCTCCTCCCTCCAGGGCTGTAACAGCCTTCCTGTGGCAGCCTCTGTCTTCAGTCCCAGGTAGAAGTGGGTGGTGTGGCCTTGAGGGGTAGCCTGTGAGTTTGGTTTTGGGGCCACTGGAGAAGACACCTGCAGAACATCCCAGAGCTGCTTCCAGTGTCCCTCTGTTTCTTGAACACTCATTACTGCCAAGGCTTGGGCCTACAGGGACCAACGCTGGTTTCTTCCTCATCTGTCTCCCAACATTCTAGACCAGGAAATCTTCAACACCACTGGAGTCGTAATGACCCGCAATGGCTCCCTGGTGACAGCCAGCTTAGATGGCACAGTGATCGTCTCAGTGACAGCTCTCTCCAACATCCTCCACGCCTCCTGCAGCCTCCCAGAGGAGTACCAAGACCGCACAGAGGGCCTCCTGGGTAAGAAACAGGCAGGACCCTGACTTTGAGGCAGTGGCCACAACAGGAGCTCAGATCCTACCCCCTCCCCAGGTGGTTCCCTGCCCATTAGCCTATGGACATCACAGGCTGCATTTCCCTTTCTCAGCCTCCGTGGAACAGAACCCTGGGGCCACAGAGCGGCAGGGAAGGACATGGGGCCACAGAGTCGCAGGGAAGGACAGGGACCTCTTCCGCTACCTTTGAGTCTCACTCCCTGTCCTCCTAAAGCTCCACTTCCGGGGCAGCCAAGGGAGCATCCAGGATGGACTCTGAGGAGGGTGGGGTCAGCAGCCACCTTCTCCTCCCACACCTCACACTTTCCCACCTCTCCCTCCATTGCCTCCATTCCCTCCTCTTCCTCTCCTCCTCCCTCCCTGAAGCAGAAAGGTGGGCTCTGAGGTTATGGTCCATCCTCTACCCTCCTCCTGGAGGCCTGAACCAAGAACAGATGCAACAGAGAGAGGCTTCCTGGGCCCCCTGCTCCTCCTCACATCTTGAGTGTGCCCCGTTAGATGCTTCCCAGGGAATGGGGAGAACCACAGTCGCAGGGTGGCCAACCTCCTACTCTGTCCTTCAGGGGTCTGGAACAATAATCCAGAAGATGACTTCAAGATGCCCAATGGCACCACCATTCCCCAAGAGAGCAATGAAGAGATGCTTTTTCACTATGGAATGACCTGTGAGTCTGGACTTCAGAGTGCTGGGGGTAGATGGGACAGGGCTGGGATGTCTCCCTCAGGCCTGTGGGGACCAGACCTCTGTCCTTTGTGAGGGAGGGGTGGAAAATTTAGGAGGATTCTGGTGCCACCCCAGACTTGTTTCCTCCATCCCACTCCCACCCATGTCTCTCTACCTGGAAGAGAAGATGAGGGAAGGAGGTGGCCCTCAGTCACTAGCGCAGGGATTTTCATATTCAGAAGCCAGAAATCAACCTGGCCTTTTATACCCCACCTACCTCAAGCCATATAAAGTGAGAGTAAGGGGTGGATACTGCAGAAACTTAGCTGGAGTCCCACCCCTGGTACCATCACCATCGAACCTCGTGTGTTATAGGGGAAATCAACGGAACAAGCCTCCTTGGCAAGAGGGATGACCATCTGCCTTCCAACTTCACCCCTGTCTTCTTTTCCCAACTGTGGAAAAACAACTCCTTGGATAAAAATTCAACCTCCAAGTGTAATAGAGATAAACAATGCATCTATGACACCCTGGCCACAGGAAACACGAAGACTGGACTGGACACGAGGATGCTCTTTAGAAGATACCAGCTGATGAACAACACCCTCCGTAAGTGGCATGAGGCCCAGGGCGGCATTTTCAGAGTTGGGGGCAGATGATGAGTCCCCTTCCATAACAGCCCTTTAAGCCACAAATTAAATTTACCAGGTTCTTTGACTCATGTTGTTCCACTGCTCAAACCCTCCCATGATTCCCCAGCCCACGCTGTTCTTATGATGACCTTCAAAGCCTTATCCAATTTGCCTCTTGAAATCTCCTCGTACTCCCACTTTGCTCCCTCCACTCCAGCCCAACTGGCTTTTTTGTGTCCTTCGAACATGCCAGGCTCACTCTCAACTCTGAGACTCCACACAGGCTGTTCTCTTTGCCTGGAGTACCCTTCCCCTAGACAGCCATAGGCTTGCCCCTCACCTCCTTCAAGTCTCTCATTAAATGCCACCTTTCTTGGCTAGCCTGTCTAAAATCTCACATTCACCCACACTCCCTACTCACTTTCCCTGCTTTATTTTTTTCTCCTTAGCATTTATAACTATCAAACATATTTTCTAATTTTCATTGGTAACTTTTGTATTCTTTGTTCACTGGTATGTCCTCACTACCTAGAATAGTGCCAGCCATATAGTAGGTGCTCAATAAATACTTAAATGACTGATTGAATGAATGAGTGAATGAATGAAGAAAAAATGAAATGGAAATAGCAAGTCTCCAAAAAACAGAGACCAATAAAAAGGTTTAACTCCCTATTTCCTGAAAAATGCAATGCCCACTTAGATTACCCTCACGGTTTTCAGTCCTCTTCCAAAGTTAAAACTCTGTGACAGTCTAACAATCTGTTTTTGGATTCACTTCGTACCAAGCTCAGCATAGCAGGAAAGAACTTGAAATGAATCTCATTTTGGGAAAAGACAAAGAGAGAATAAAGATTTGGCCAGGTGGACAGTACAATCCCAACCTGCTCTGCATAGGTCCGAGAGCAGATACTTCCAGAGGTGGGTCACAGTCCTGTGAATGCCTCACACAAGCCAGGAGACTGGAGAGAGAGGAGGCCCACAGGCAAGAGAGTGTCCTGCCTCGGGCTCCAAATCCCCTCTTTGTGTTCCAGATCAGTACCCACCTTCTATTGATGGTCCCCAAATGGTGAAAGCCTACAAGGGGGAGACCAAGCTGATTCAATACAACGGCAGCTCTAAGGACGTCACATTCACTCTCAGAAACAGCTACACTAAGGACTTCAAGCTTTTTGGTAAGAATGTTTGGCTGGGGACATGGGGGATGAGTTCAGAGACAAGGTTTGGGTAATTTTTCATTATTATACCCTTTGCAACTTCATGTCACTTTTCTATTGGAATATCCAAGACCAACATTTCTTAGGCATAATCCCTATAATTCAAACAGGTGCTCACCCCCATGGTGAATAGTGATGGGCTTATGGAGATTTGGCCAGCTAGCTAGACCAGGGGTGGGCAAACTTTTTGACTCGAGGGCCACAATGGGTTCTTAAACTGGACCGGAGGGCTGGAACAAAAGCATGGATGGAGTGTTTGTGTGAACTAATATAAATTCAAAGTAAACATCATTACATAAAAGGGTACGGCCTTTTTTTTTTTAGTTTTATTCATTTCAAACGGGCCAGATCCGGCCCAGGGCCATAGTTTGCCCACGGCTGAGCTAGACTGACTCTGGGCATGTACAACTGATTCAAAAATCATTTCATCTCAATCTAATCTATACTAATAAAAGGTTGATATGCTAATTAGACTGGACGTCCTTCTGGACAAAGCCACTGTGGTGGGGGCCAAGGCAGAAGTGGTTAGGGGCGATCAGGTCAGCAGGGAAAGGCAGTTAGGGGTGATCAGGCCAGCAGGGGAGAGCAGTTAGGAGTGATCAGGCCAGCAAGGGAGGGAAGTTAGGGGCAATTAGGCTGGCAGGGAGGGCAGTTAGGGGCTATCAGGCCATCAGGGAAGAGCAGTTAGGGGTGATCAGGCCAGCAAGGGAGGGAAGTTAAGGGTGATTAGGCTGGCAGGAGAGGGCAGTTAGGGGCTATCAGGCCAGCAGGCAGAGGCAGTTAGGGACGATCAGGCAGGCAGGCAGGTGAGCCGTTAGGAGCCAGCAGTCCCAGATTGTGAGAGGGATATCTGACTGCCAATTGTGCAGGGATCGGGCCTAAACTGGCAGTTGGACATCCCCCAGATTGGAGAGGGTGCAGGCCGGGCTGAGGGACCCCCCTCCCCATGCACAAATTTTGTGCACCGAGTCTCTAGCAATATATAATCACCTTTAACCATCTTTGTGTAACCACTGAATTATTAGAATAAAGCATAACAAAGAAATGCTAATTTAAAATACTTTCATATCTACTTTTTAAAAGGATATAACGTGGAACAAGATTTAAAGAAACACAAATACCTTTGTTTGGAACATTTGTCACTATTTTTATGTTTGTCAACCATGTTTATCTAATTTTGTCTCTCCTTGTCTGCTGTTCTGAGCTGGGACAAAGCAAAGCTTCATCGTTCTTTCTCAGTGATGCTATGGAGTCCCCTAGGCCTGCAACATGGTCTGGGTCAAAGAGCCAAAGCCTACAGGATGCAGATTGCCTTCTGTTGCCAGCAGTGATATGCTGGTGACTGCTCTTTGCCAAACCAAGGCCTCCGGGAACCTTATTCTGAGCTCTGAGCACCTCTCTGCCTAATTTTCTTTCTCTGTGCATCAGGAGGGACTGCTTTTTCTGTACCCTTTGCTCCATGTAGCATCCTGCCAGGGGCTAGACAATGGCATCAGGAGACTTCTCCTCCACTGGACTCTTCTCCTAAAGAGTGATGGCCTGGAAGTTACTCTTGTCTCCTCCTACTATCAGCTCCTCTTAACCTGCTGTTTTAAGGAGATTTTCCTATTTTCTTCAGTAACATAAGACTAGTTTGATCGGAGGAGTCCTATAATATATAGCACTGTTTCACTGCATTCTAGTGTCTGAAGGGGTGGCTGGCCAAAGGTCCAGGAAGTGAGAGGGTGGGCAAGAAATCAGGGCAAGGGATGGGGCTGCTGTGAAGGTGAGGCCAGTATGACCTGCAGTGTAGTGCGGGGATGTGTCGGGAGGATCTGGCCTTCACCCTCTGTACCCCCTGGATGTCCCGTCCTGGTGCAGGCCCAGGCAGATTGCTCTTTGGGGGGTTTCTTCTGGATCAACTGCCTTCCCCTCTTTGGAGTTCCACCCTACACTCAGTTAGTTGGGCTCCAGCTTGGAGCGTGACCACCCCAGGAAACCAGCCTCACCTAAGGAAATGCCTGGTGAGGTTTGAGGGGTGGTCTGAGGGAGATGGAGGATTCCAGCCTTAGCTCTTAGGGTATTAAATGCCAAGACGTGTCAGATGGCGAGAAATCAAGGCTTCCACCTCTCAATGACCTCATCTTCCTTGGGGCAGAGAATGGGACACTGCTCTGGACACCAAACTCGCTGGAACCATTCACTCTGGAGATTCTAGCAAGAAATGTCAAGAACAATTTATCATCTTTACTCCAGCCAAAGACCGTGGTCTGTGCTTGCAAGGGAAAGGACCAGTGTTTATACAACAAGACCAGCTGGGTGGGCAATTCCTCCCTGGAGGTGAGTGCTGAGAGGAGGGTGAGAAGGAGGTTTCCATTTTGGAGGGGCAAGGAAGTGGAATTTGAAAAGATATCAAAGCCCCTCTGTGGTCATGTGTGTTGGGAGGTGGGTGGAACTGAGGTAGGTGAGTAGAGCAGATACCATCTCAGGCCACAAACTTATTCGTGTGAGAAATAGAACTTTCTTTACTGCTTATAGCTCAATTGAATTTTTATCTCCCGGCTCCCATTCTGCCAGGCTGGCAGGGAACTTCCAGCTCAGGCTTTCCTAGCGTCCCCCCTGGTCCCCAGCTCCATGTTTCTGAAACTAGGCACTGAGATGTGGGGTGGGAAAGTGTGGTCCCTGAATATGAGTCTACACTGATCCCAAGTTCCATACTCGCCCCTCTTCAGACCCAGGAAGTGCTCTGCGGCTCTGTGCCTTGCTCAGACACAGGCAGCCTTTACTAAGGTGGCTTAATGTCCCGCACAGCCATTTCCCTCTGGGGTCTCATCACCATGGTGCTGGGAAGAGAGGTGGGGAGTCCAGGGCCTGGAAAAGGGGAAAAACATAGAGAGTGGGAAAACAGAGGTTTAAGTCAATATATTATTCTAGAGATCCCAGAATTCCCAGTCTTAGAAGTAAAAGTGTTGGAGAGTTGCATTTCAGGGAGATTTCCAGGGTCCTCTCAGAAGATGGGTCAGAAAAGAGAGACCAGGGAGCTTGATGGGGTACCCTAACCTCAACCTTCCCTGTGCCGTTGTTCTGCTTACCGTGTTCTCACAGCGCTGAGCAGTGAGGCTCTGTCTTCTTGCTTTGGGAATCAACAAGGGGACGATGAGCAGGAAACTGCAGCTTTCAGGGGATCCCATTTTCGAGGGATAGTAGAATATTTATTTAGCTCTGTCTTACTCTAAAAAGGATTTCGGGCAAAGAGACATGGTGTAAGAAGGAAGAGGCAGAGCAGCTGGGGAAGAAGCCAGGCACACAGAGGGGTGGTGGAAAGAAGGGCCCAGGGAGGCGAGTGGGCTAGAGACCATGTGCCTCTGGGCGGGACCCTGAAGGCCCAGGGCCTGGTCAAAAAGGTGCTCAATAAATACTGGCAGAAATAAGACAAGGTCTCAGGTCCCATGGGTTCGCAGACTGGAGGGGTCAGTACTGAAACACCTAAATGCCCTTAATGGTTCAGCCTCCTGGCTGCCCAGTGATCAGCAACCCATTCCAGGTGGCCAGCTGCAAGTGTGACAACAACACCTTCGGCCAGTACTGTGAGCGTTCCAAGGACCCCTGTGACGAGCAGTGCTTCCCGAATGTGAAGTGTATTCCTGGGCAGGGCTGTGATCCTTGCCCCCCGAACCTAACTGGGGATGGGCGTCACTGTACAGGTAAGCTGGGAAGAGGGCCCAGGTAGGAAAAGGTTCTGGGGACAGGTGATGCCTAGGGGGTCTAGGACAGCCATTCGCAAACCATTTGTCTCCCTTTTCTAGCAAGTATTTAGAATGCTCAACAGAGTGGGTGCAGTAAGGAGGTAAGGTTTGCATGGTAGGGTATGAGGCTGAAGGAGAAGAGATTATATAGGCATGGGGGAGAGGCCAGGGCACAACAGGTCTGAGACACTGATTGGGAAAACCCAGGGCAAAAGATTGAACATGGCCTGGAGAAGAGAGGGGACTTCTAGCAGAGACAGGGAACCAAAGGCAAGCTGGGGTTTTCAGAGATGTAAGTCTCCACATGCCCCGTCAGGACATTTGGAGGGGATGTCATGGGCATCTGATGGCAAGCGTGCCTCATTTTCCCTTTTAGTCCTGCTGCCACTATCTGTTCTTTGACTCCTAAGTGATCGGGGTCATGATGAGGGAAAGAAATCACAGTGAGTCCTTTACTAAGCTCAAATGAAATCCGAGCAGAGGCCAGAGTGGGTAGAACCGCAGCCTTATAAAGGCAGAAAAGGGGATAGAAGTGAGGAAAGCCTTCTGGGTCCTTTCCTGATGTGGAGAGACTGATAAACACCTCTTCCCTCAGCAGAAGTGGGCAAATATCTACCTGGCAGAGGAAAAGGGTTTTCCAGTAGAGAAGTGCCTGGAAAAGGGAGAAGGATAGTTTGGGGCTCAGAGTGGCCCACAAGCAGAACAAGGATTGAGTGGGCTTTGGGGGAAAGCAACCAGACTGTCCTGGAAACAGCTCTCCGTGGGCTGGGGGCTCCCCACTGCTGTCGGGCCTGGTGTTGTTGACCTCTGCTCTCTCCGCAGGTCTGGAGGATTCTGAACACTGTCGGAACAAGTCTTGCCCTGTGAATTACTGCTACAACCAGGGCCACTGCTACATCTCCCAGACTCTAGACTGCCAGCCCACCTGCACTTGCCCCCCCGCCTTCACAGACAACCGTTGCTTCCTGGCTGGGAATAACTTCGCTCCAACTATTGATCCAGGTCTCACCAGATGCCCCCACCACCCTCATCACCATTCTTCTCTCTCTTGGGGGAAGAAGGGGACCTCTGGGGGCCAGGGAAAAGTTTCTTAAACTCACAGGACAGAACTTCATATTTCTTTTGGGTGGTGGTAAGTTGTAGGCTATGGGAGCTGGTGGGGGCAGCATGAAAAACGGGCTTGAGTGGTCTTATGATAAAAGACTAAAGGTGGCCTTATGGCTCAGTTAGAAGAGAGTCACGGAATCCCTGATCATAGTCAAATGAGCTCTAGAGTGAGGGTCAGCAGACTCAGCCACTTCTCCTGATCTATCCCTGTAGAATCGGGCAGTCTCCCTAGACTGGCCCAATGGTCTCAGTGGGTAAATCTGGGTAAACCCAGGAAGTGAATATAAATCTGCTTCTCCCATCTCCAGAGTTCCCTTTAAGAACCATCCAGCTCATTCTGAGTGAAGAAGAAAACGCCACTGAAGCAGAGGTCAACGCTTCGGTTAGTACTGCAGGTGGCTCTGAGTGGGAAGGAGGATCCTGGCAGGTTCAGGGCAGGGTCTTAGCCATTACTTGTGCGTTCTGCATCCTCATCATCCATCTAGATTCAGTTGCCAGGGGAGACGGGAGCCTTCTGCCTCAGAAAAGGCCCGGGGTGAGGAAGGCAGGAAGCCGCAGGACAGAGCCCTCCGAGGGGGTTGAAATGACCAAGTTGACATGAACAGGGTCTAGGGTGGCTGAGTCACCCCTGCCTCTCCTTCTGAGAGTCCTTCGAGACCTGCACTTGGGTATTATATGGAAGAAACACAAGACGGTCTTTCACTGCCAGGAAGCCTTCTCTGAATTCCCACAGGGACCTGGGGGTTCCCTCTTTTTGGGTCCCATCCCCTTTCCATTCCTCAATCACAAGCAAAGTAACACAGTGGTTGAGTTATGGAGGCTCTAGAATCCTACATACCTGGGTTCAAGTCCAGGCTCTACCACCCATTAGACCAGGTATAATAATTAGACAAATTATTTGATGTCTCGTCTATAAAAATAGAAGTGATAATCATACCTATGTCAATGGGTTGTGTCAAGGTCTAAATAATAATGTATGTGAAGTACTTAACATGGTACCTGAAACACATATTCAAAAATTAGAATAATAATTACTATTATTACTACTACCACTACCACCATAGCACTCTACACTCTGGTAAAATCTGTGGGCATTTGTCTACTACACCAGACTACGGACCTTTGAGTATGGACGGTTCCTGAATCATGTTGACATCCCCTAGGTCTGCCTAAACATAATCCATATTCAGTATACATGTGGGGAGAGAATGAGTGGGTGCGTCAGGAATCAGAGGCAAAGTGGGGGCCATTCATTTCAGGTTCTCCCCTTGTAATAGGAGGCTGGGGTTGGAGGGAGATATGTAAAGTCCTTCACTCACCAACAAAATTTTATTAAGCAGGGACTCATGCCAGTCATGGGGCTAGGCTGGGGTGTGGGGATGCAGAAATGGATGAGATGAGGTCCTGGGGCTCACATTCTAAAATGGTAACAGCCAAAACCGGTTTGGCTCAGTGGATAGAGCGTCAGCCTGCGAACTCAAAGGTCCCAGGTTCGATTCCGGTCAAGGGCATGTACCTGGGTTGCGGGCACATCCCCAGTAGGGGGTGTGCAGGAGGCAGCTGATCGATGTTTCTCTCTCATCGATGTTTCTAACTCTCTATCTCTCTCCCTTCCTCTCTGTAAAAAATCAATAAAATATATATTAAAAAAATAAAATAAAATAAAATGGTAACAGACAGGGATGAATAAATGCATTAAAGTGGAAGGGTCTCCTCTCTGGACTGGGTCTCACCCCTACCCCAATTACCCGCAACCATCTGCTCTAGGTGGCCTACAGGCTGGAGAACCTGGATGTGCGGGCCTTTCTCAGGAATAGCAGAGTGCAAAAAATGTAAGTGGGATTGTTCCTGCCTGGTCCCCAAATCCTCCCTCTTACCCCTCACCCCTCAGCCCCTCACTCTGCTCCTCCCCCATAGCAGCCCTCCAGCAGCAAGCGGCTCCCTGCAACAATGGCTGGTCATCTCGGAGTTTCAGTACCGCCCGAGGGGTCCTGTCATCCACTTCCTGAACACCCGGCTGCTGGACGCAGTGGTGGAGGCATTTTTACTGCAGGCCCCGCAGGGGAGATGGAAGAAAAGTGAGGAGCCCAGGAACAACGTGGTCTTCCACCCTATCTCCAGGAGAGACCTGCACAGTTTGAAGGCTTGTGAGTCACTATCTTGGGGACAGTCCCAGGGAGAGCTGAGGGAGGAGGTAAACTGAGGAAGCCTGGTCCAGAAATTTAGCCCACACAAACCCATGGTGAAAAAAAAAAAAGTATTTTTGTTTATAATTTCTGAGGGAAATTATAAACGTTTTACCTACCAGCTTTCTAGATCCAAGAACCGATCCAACATGATAAGTCCATTGTTCAGTTTCATAGAACAAGTATCCCAACTTCTGCTTCCCTAACCACTGCTGCTGATAGTTTACTTTCTTTTCATAAAATTGTTAGTGATTTCGTTAAAATACCATCGGACCTGATATACATAAACACAGACACCCTTTGCCTTTGCCCTCCAGCTGGAGGACATTACGTTAAAGGCTGAAGACCCAGCGCAGGGGCAGAGATATCTTCTCCCCAAAAGGGTGTGGTCCTTTGCAAAAGCCATTTCCAGCCCAGGCCTCAACACCTCCATCTAGAAAATGAGATGGGATTTCTGAGGTCCCCTTCAGCTCTGACAGCCCCTGACTATCCTGGAACGGGAATGAGATAGGTTGACGAGCCTGTCAGAGAAGGAAAGGAGTAGCCCACCCTATTTGGGGAGTGAGACAGAGAACAGGGCAGTGACCATGCCAAGCCCATTAGAAGCTGTTGTGCTACTTGGTTCCAGAACCAAGCAAGAGCTTCTTCTAGAATGCAGGCTAACCCTCTTCCCTCCCGGGGGGCAACCAGTGTGAAATCCTCCACCTACTATGTGTAGGTGTGGTAGGGGTGTAGGGGTAGAGATAAGGGAACAAGTACCCTAGACCAGACCATGCCTTCTGTTTAAAAACAAAACACAGATTTTTAAAAACCCAGAGTTTTTATTATACAAGTACAATATGTTTATTGTATAAACTTTAGGAAACAAACATTAACAAAAAGAAGAGGAAAAAATCACCTGTAATTCCAGTCTCCAGAGACAAATCCATTTTGCACACATCCTTCTGATTTTTCTTTTATGCATAGTCACCTTTGCACGTATTGAATTTTTTTACAATAAAGGGATTAAATTATACCTAATGTTTGATCACCTTACTAAACAATTGTGAACACATTACCTTATATATTGTGTGCATAGTCCCATTTTATATATTATTTTGTAATATATTTTAATTTAGTGTGGTATAATATATTTTAAATAGAATGTTATACTAATAGTGACCGTTAATTTAGTGCTTACTGTGTCAGGCGCTTTACTGAATACTCATATATATTATCTCATTTAAACTTCATCGCAAGGTAGGTGCTATTATCATTTTCTTTTAAAGATAAGAAAACTGAGGCTGAAAGAATTAAGAAATTTCCCCAAATCACACAACTAGTTAGTAGTAGAGTTTGAATTTCAACACAGGTCTGGCTGACTTCAAAGCACATTCTCTTAACCAATGCATTTTCCATACCATGGTGCTTACTGGTTGCACAATATCCCTTACTTAATAAAACTTCTGTTAAATGTTGTTACTATTTAAAACATGCTGCTCTGGACTTCCATGAACATATGTATTTGCACACTCTTCCCATTATTTCTAAGGATAAATGCCTAAAATTGAATCCTTGATCGAAAAGGAATAGATCTGGTGTTAATTATTGTTCTTACTGTTCATCTGTGTCCTACCTGACAGCGAACGTGAGCACGCTGCAGACTCACTTAAAATGCAATGGCTACAAAGGCTACAAACTGGTCTACAGCCCGCAGGGCGGCTTCACTTGCGTGTCCCCTTGCAGTGAGGGCTACTGTGAGCACGGAGGCCAGTGTCAGCACCTGCCGGATGGGCCCCGCTGCAGGTGAGTGGGACAGGGGGCAGGGGGCGGGAGGCAGAGAGGGCAGTGCTGGGAAATCCAAGCTGGGAAAAGACACTGCAAGGGAGTCCAGAATGGATGTCTGCAAATTAGCAATGGCTCCCTGTGTAATTGAGAGAACTGGGATCAGAGAAAAAATGGATAATGGAAAATAAAACCTGTGAGTGCCCCCTCCGTGTGGAGAATAAAGGTGCCATATTACCTCAAAGGAGCTACTAGGTTGGTACTTTTTTAAAGATGAGAAAACTGCAGCTCAGAGATGATAAGGTACCCAGTACGTTAAGTAGTAGGATATGGGTTCCAAAGTCAAACTCTTACACCTGCTTTTGCTTCTTGGGTGGACACCCTGCTGTGTCATTGTGGGGGAAAAAGGAACCCTTTGTCTTGAGTCTAAGCCGGGCTTTGCCCTTTCTTAAGAGTACCAGGCAGGGAGGCCCTCTCAAACTGGCACCTAAGGTCCCCTTGGTTCATCAACAGTCCGAGGGGCCCCCGGGAGGGGATGCACTAAGTCTGCATGCCTGCCAAGGAGGAGAAGGGCGCACCCTTCGGGCCCTCTTGTCACCGCAGGCCCTCCGTCTACCAGTGGTTCTCAACCTTCTGGCCCTTTAAATACAGTTCCTCATGTTGTGACCCAACCATAACATTATTTTCGTTGCTACTTCATAACTGTAATATTGCTACTGTTAGGAATCTTAATGTAAATATCTGATATGCAGGATGGTCTTAGGAGACCCCTGTGAAAGGGTCGTTCGACCGCCAAAGGGGTCGCGACCCACAGGTTGAGAACCGCTGGGCCCTCTACCCTCCTCCCCCAATGCAATTCCAGACCCGCCTAGCCCTCCCTTCCCAGGGCCAAGGGCGAAGTGGTGGAACCGAGGGCGGGACCCAACTCCGGGCCAGGGGTTGGGCTGTGACAGCGCAGGCTCACGTGCCGCTGGCCCGCCTTTCCCACCCCCAACCCCACCCCCCTGCTCAGGTGAAGCTGACCTCTCACACACCACGTGGTTTCGTTCGCCCGGTGGCCTCTCTCCAGCATCAGGTCAGGGCTGACTCGGCCTCTTTCCCTAAAGGGAAGCCCTACCTGTTGTGGAAAACCTCCTCTGGCCCCGCCTCAAGAGGGGATGGAGAGGCTGAGCGCCGGCCCCCACTTCCCCCACCCCCACTCCCACCCCCCTCCTCCCCTCTATTGACGTGTCCCCTCTCTTTGTTCCCAGCTGTATGTCCTTCTCCATCTACACGCCCTGGGGCGAGCACTGTGAGCATCTGAGCATGAAACTTGGCGCTTTCTTCGGGATTCTCTTTGGGGCCCTGGGCGCCCTCTTGCTGCTCGGGGCCATGGTATTTGTGGTCCATCGCTTCTGGTACACCAAGACCCGATTCTCCTACCCCCTGGACTCAGAAAGCTGAAGCCTCCACCCAAGGCGGGAGCTGTGGCCTAAGATACCTCAAGACCCACCCCAGACACACCCACTTCCGTCCTGGCGCCTTTGGGGAGATTAGGAAAAAGAAGATAACTGACGGTGACTCGGTGACTCGGGATTCTTCCAGGAGAATGACTAACAGGAATGAATAATGATAAAGATAAGAGCACAACTTATCAGTTTACATTGAGGTGGACTGGAAGAGACCATAAAGATCTACTACATAAAGGGATGGATTCTCACACAGACACACCCACAAGGAGGACACCCGCATGTTACACACACACACACACACACACACACCAGATTTAATAATGGGGTGATGGTTCTAACTTAAAAACCAAAATGCATTTGTATGTAAAACTCTCCAGTTTACTTCTAATTAAAGTCTATTTAGATAAAATCTCTCTGACTTTTTGTGTTTGCAGAGCCATGGGTTCCATTTGTTATTTTTCTCTGTTGGCTAAAGGGCTAGGCACGGGGTGGAGGAGCAGAGGTGCATTAGCCACAGCCCTGTTTCAGCCCTCAGTACTCCATGTTGGGAAGCTCAGTTGCTCCAGCTCAGACATGAATCCTTGCTTCTGCCTCCACATCACTTTCTTCCCCTCACCCCAACATAAGCCAAGGCCTGGCCCTCTTAGGAGAAGGGTACCAATACCTCCCACATGTTCTCTGTCCTTTCCTGGGCCCCAGGCAGTGTCTCCTGAGCTCCTCCAGCCTACCGTCCTTCAGCCCCACTCTTTCTACTTGTTCCCAGCAACCAGATCAGTTTCCACCTTATCCTTCTCTCTTAGCAGGCAGAACTTTGCACCTCTCTCCTATAACAGCTCCCGCAACTGGTCCACAACTCCTGGGTCCTGGGCACCTCAATTCCAGCTCTATGCAGAAACTGGGTAACGGCTTCTTGGTCCTAAAGGCCAAATCCCTAAAAAGATAATCTGATTGGCCCAGTTGTCCATCTCTGATTCAATCAAGTGTGGCCACAGGGTAGGAAAGGAGGTCACATGATACAAACCTGGGGCTCAGGCTCACTCTTGTAAGTGCGTGAGTCGTGGTGTTGGAGGAAGTTCCCATGGAAACATGAACTTTCATCTGAGCAGAGATTCCTCTAACTGTCTGCTTTACATAGAGAAACATCTCCCAGCAGGTGAAGCCCCTCTCATATGTACACTCAGATACCCCAAAATACCCCCAAATGTAATCATGTATCCATATAAAGCCATATTCATTTCATTCCAGTGTTCATTTATCAAGAATTAAGCACAGCCCTAGCCAGTTTTGCTCAGTGGATAGAGCATTGGCCTGCAGACAGAGGGTCCTGGGTTTGATTCCAGTCAAGGGCACGTACCTTGGTTGCAGGCTCCTCCCCGGCCAAGGCCCTGGACCAGGCTCATGCAGGAGGCAACTAATCAATGTGTTTCTCTCACATCAATATTTCTCTCTGTCTTTCCCTCTCTCTTCCACTCTCTAAAAATAAATGAAAAAATATCCTCGGGTGAGGATTAAAAAATTAAGCACATAGTCCAAATGGGTTCCCTGGTGAATTCTACCAAACATTTCAGGAATCAATTCTAAGAATTCTCTATAATCTCTTTCAGAAGATTGAAGCAGAGGGAATATTTCCTAACTCATTTTATAAAGCCAACTTTACCCTAATACCAAACAAGAACAAGATACCTTAAGAAAAGGAAACTATTCACCAATAGCTCTCATGAAGACAGGTGCAAAAAATCCTCAACAAAATATTGGCAATCGAATCCAACAATGAATAGAAAGAATTATACATCACAACCAAGTAGTGTTTATCCCAGGTATGCAAGCCTGGTTCAAGATGTAAAATCAGCTAATGTAATCTATCACATCAACAGTCTAAAGAAGAAAAATCATATGATCATTTCAATAGATGCAAAAAAAAATCATTTAACAGCCCTAGCCGGTTTGGTTCAGTGGATAGAGCATCGGCCTGTAGACCAAAGGCTTCTGGGTTCGATTCTGGTCAAGGGCACATACCTTGGTTGCAGGTTCCTTCCCAGCCAAGGCCCTGGTCAGGGCTCATCCGGGAGGCAACCAATCGATGTGTTTCTCTCACATCAATGTTTCTCTCTGTCTTTTCCTCTCTCTTCCACTCTCCCTAAATATCAATGGAAAAATATCCTCAGATGAGGATTAACAAAAGAAAAAACAGTTTGTGTAGAGCAACTAATTGTGATTTAAAAGTTTGTTGTGTACATGAGAGGGTTTTGCCTGTGATTTAATCCTTCACAAGACTGACATCTCATGACCTTGACTTGCTACAGGGCTCACAAGAGTCACCTAAAAAAATGAATGTGTTTTTCCTGTTTTCCTTCCAGCTGGTCCCTATCAAATTAGTTTGAAATGTAATGAATAAATGGAATGAATGACTTGGGAATTCTTTTTAGATGTCTTTTATTCTATATAATGATGTAGCAAGTTATTAATTAAAAAAACAGTGGCAGGATATAGTCTGAACCTTTACACTTGGGTTGTAAAAAATAATGTCATTTTTAACTAAACTTGAGACATTTTTTTGTCCTTTGCCTCAGGGGCAGGGCATCATGACTTGCTCTGTTGTGGAGTCAGTGGTGATAGATAGATGGGGCCTGTATAGACCGGGAGGCATGCCCTGCTCCGCAAATCCAGGGGGAAACAGTCAAGCAGCAGAGCGCAGGGAGAACTGAGACACATGTCTATCTGTACAACAGAGACTCGTCCTAACTTAGGTTCACATCCTGAGACTTGAGAAGCAACAGATGCACATTTACCATTATTCAGGAGGCACGCATTTGTTGAGGCCACCATCAATTTCTGTATCTACATAGACACTTGTATACCAGTATCCTCATCTTAGGGAATCACACCTACCTCATTCTTTCTTCCCAATATTTCCCTTCATTCTACTCAGGACAGTGGCATCAGGCTGTCCTTATACACCAGAATAAAGAATTGCCTTATTTCAAACCCATCAAAAAAAAGAAAAAGAAAAAACAAACATAAAAAGAATTTAACAAAATCAAATACCCATTTATGATCAAAACTCTCAGCAAACTAGGAATCAAAAGGATCTTCCTCAGGTTGATAAAAAAAAAAATCTGTGTGGTGTTAGATGGGCACTAGACTTATGGGGTGATCACTTTGTAAGTCATATAAATGTCTAATTATTATGTTATACACCTGAAGCTAATATATTGTATGTCAAATGTAATTGAACATTTTTTAAGTATTTTAATCTACAAAAACCTACAGCTATTATCATATTGAGTGGTGAGAAACTTAAAGCTTTTCAGCTAAGATCAGGAACAAAGCAAGGATGTCCCCACTCACCACTGCTTTCCAAAATCATACTGGGAGTCCTACCTAATTCAAATACAAAAACAAAAACAAAAAGGAAATAAAAGATACATATTGGCAGATTGGGAAGGGAGAAATAAAACTGTCATTTTTCACAGATGACATGATCACTAATTTGCTTTTTTAAATAGCAGCCCTGGCCAGTATTTCCAAGTGTCTAGAGCATTGGCCTATGCATCAAAGGGGTCCTGGGTTTGATTCGGTCAAGGGCACCTAACTGGGTTGGAGGTTCAATTCCCACCCCCACACACTTCGGTGTGATTCAGTTATTAAAGGGCTTGGTCCCTGGGTGCTGGAGCCTGGGTTGAGTAAGACAACTTTGTGAGACAGGAGTCCAAGTGGACTGACTTTGCAGGAGCTCTCATGCTTATGCCCTGGGCACTGCTGGGAGCAGGATGGGAGGGGAAGGTGCTTTTACCCCATTTGTCATCTACATTTACAAGGAAGAAGGAGATAGTAATGGGAAGACCAGTCCCATGTGGCAGCCACAAAACTGGGATGGCCCTAACTGATGTCCTCTGATGGCCCCCTTGAGGCAAGCCAGCCCCAGAAGCTGTACGGAGCAGCTATCGGATTGACCTGTTGGCAAAGCCACAAATAAGTTCCAGTGTCATACATACTTAAGGGGACACACTGCCATATGCATACTCTTTTTTAAAATATATTTTATTGATTTTTTACAGAGAGGAAGGGAGAGGGACAGAGAGTTAGAAACATTGATGAGAGAGAAACATCGATCAGCTGCTTCCTGCACACTCCCCACTGGAGATGTGCCCGCAACCAAGGTACATGCCCTTGAACGGAATTGAACCTGGGACCCTTGAGTCTGCAGACCGATGCTCTATCCACTGAGCCAAACCGGTTAGGGCTGTATGCATACTCTTTATCAATAATAGTGAAACCCAGGGTCCTTATGACTTTGATTAAATTCAGCTTTAAATCCTAGCTCTAGAAATCATATCTGTCATCATATATCTACACCCCAAAGACCTAGCCTTTCTCCACAAGCAGCAACCCCCAGGCAGCAGAAGCCAGTTGCCTGGAACTGACTATTGGTCACAAAGCCTGACCTCTGGCAGGCTACAGATAACATCTTGATCTAAGTTATGTTTCTGTTCCTGAGCCCTAAGAAGGAACCACCTCCTGGCTATTTTCCCTTGAGAACAGACAGAGGGACACCAGAACAGACTTCAGAGCTGTCCTCAAGACTTGAAGAAATAATTTATTACCCTCACCTCTGACCAATCAGCTCACAGCATGACCTGAGACCCCCTAACACACAGCATCTTGAGATTTTGCCCAATATATTCTGTAACCTACTTAACATCAGACTTTGAGCATAGCTTCCAGTTCCTCTGGAGGGCACCATCCTATATAATAAAGAGGTAATATGCAAATTGACCATCATGTCCTCGCATATGATGGCCGCCCCCCTGTGGTCAAAGATGGCTGCCCCCATTTGGTCACAAGATGGCCACCACAAGATGGCCTTCAGGGGAGGGCAGTTGGGGGCGACCATCCCTGCAGGGGAGGGCAGTTGGGGGCTACCAGGCCGGCCCGGGGTGCAGTGAGAGGCGACCAGGCTGGCGGGGGGGGGGGGCAGTTAGGGATGACCAGGTCTGCACTGGGGGGCAGTTTGAAGTGACCAGCTCATCAGGGGAAGTTGGGGGCAACCAGGCCAGCAGAGGGTGCCA